AAAAAAAAAAAAGAAAAAAAAAGGAAAAAAAAGAGAGATAACCAAGGTCGAAAGAGGTTGTTGCTGTTGTTGTTATTATTGCAGTTTAGCTTAGATGCTACTTGGAGATTAGTGGCGAAGAATACTTGAAAGTGAGAACAGAGTGAGAACAGAGCGAAGCAGAGCATGAGAGTGGTTATCGTGAATCGATACGCGTCGTCGGTGAGGGCGAAGTTTATGCTTTATTTCCAGGGCGCGGGGAAATTTTACAGAAATTACACAATAGAGACCTTGAGCGGATTTATATGTATGATTATTTACATAGAAAGAACATCGACGGAATCGATCCTATTCAAAGTTCAAGTTCTATCTGCTTGACTCGTCGAAATGTAAATTTGCATAGAAATCCGCACGATGGCATTCCACATAGAAAGTAAATCGAGAATCTTCTTCTTTTCTCTGATACGATCCATATTCGATTTTTTAAGAAACTTTGATAAACTCTCTCGATAAGAAACGTTCGTAGAGAATAATCCACTCGTCGAACGGTCGTATAAATCTCTAAAATCTCGTTCAGACACAACATTTGTCAACAACATCAACACATCAGTCTTCAGAGAAATTTCTTCGAAATCAACGTGACATTCTCAACCAAAAAAAAAAAAAAAAGTCTTCGTTAAATATAACATACAGCTTCCTGTCTTTGTTTCTTCATCGGTGCCTTCAAGCTGTAATCGACGCAACTGTCAACGACAATTGAAGAAAAAAGAAAAAGAAAAAAGAGAAAAATGAAAAAAACATCTTTATTCCAACTGACACACAGTTTTCTTCGTTTCTTCTCGTCCAGAAGAACTTGCTCTTCGAAAAGAAAACGAACGAAATGAAAAGTTCTCTTCACTTCTTCATGAACTCCTTCAGTATGTGATCGATGTGCATGACAGGAAGAGGAGGCAGCGTTCCAGAGTGAATCTTCCTATGGCATATCAAGCCAGCCTTCTGAGCGAACGATTTCCCGCACACGTCGCATACGTAAATCCTCTCTCCGGTGTGCAGCAGCAAATGCTGGCTCAAGCTACTGTGAGTGGTGAACGCTCTGGCGCAGACGGAACACCTGTACGGTTTGTCGCCAGTGTGTATCCTCATGTGCTTCCTGAAGTCGTGATTCTCGAAGAACGTCTTCCCACATTCCTCGCAGACGGACTTCTCCTTCTTCTCGTGCTGAGTCAACACGTGTTGATCGAGGTTCTCCTTGGTCACCAGCCTCCTGCGGCACACCGGACACTCGTACTTCGCTTTGTAATGAGCGTGTTTCTGATGTGTGTACAAGCTGTGGCTGTTCCTGCACGTTTTCCCGCAAACGTCGCACATCACGGCCGGCTCCCTGTGATTCAGTCGCGTGTGCGTGGTCAGGTCGCCCTTGATCTTGAACTCCTTGCCGCACTGCTCGCACGAGAACTCGTAACGTTGCGTGTGCTTTCGCACGAAGTGAGAGCGCAACGTCTCCTTCCGCGAACAGACGAGGCCGCAGACGATGCACGTGAACTTCCTCTTACTGGTGAACTTACTCTTGCCCGAATCACCGTGGTTTTCAGCCAGGTGAGCGATCATCGTCGATCTCTTGTTGCAACGGAACTCGCAGATCGTGCAGGACAAAGCTTCCTGCTTCTGAGACGCTAGCTCCACGAAAGAACTGTCTCTCGACGATACGTCCCTTCCACTCTGATTCTCGTGGCCGAGTTTGTGCCTTTTTAACAGATACGTCTTTTTGAATTGTTTCTGACAGATGTCACAGGCTAGCGGGACATCGTCGTTGGAGTCATTCTTCTTGGATGGCTTTGTTTCTCGGTTGCTTTCTTCGCTGGGTGTAAGTCGGCAGTTGGAGTTCGTCTGGGACGATCTGTTCCTAAAACAGGAGAATTGTTAAGGTTTATTAGGGTTCTGGGAAGGGCAGTACTTACTGTCAATGATTACTTACAGTCGAGGTTAATAGTTCACGACGTGTTTTGGCATGAAAATAGTAAAACTACTAAACGAGTGTTTGTTCTATACTTTTTTAGGGATAACGACGACAACGACGGTTCGTGATTTTATTCGATTTGCAAAATGGTACAGACAGTAGATTATAAACGGCTAACAATATATTTAATATAAGTGGAATATAATTGCACTTTGTAATTTCGTTGAAATTCTTGAGAACGTCGAATGAAATAAATTACAGAAAATTTCTAGCTGAGTCAACAGTCGACGTGAAACATCGAATTCGTCGATTCCTCCAATTTTTGTATCAAATGAAGCGTTATTCAAGAAATTTCCATGATTATAGCTGAAACGCTTGTTGTTCGAGATTGTTTCAAAGATGTTATGCAATGTATTTTTAACTATATTATTGATGGTGTAATCAAGTGGCAAAAATCCATAATAGAGGCAATCGTTTCTCTTTATGGCACTTCAAGGATGCACAATTATTGATTAATTGTTAGAGATGAACCTGCCGCTTCCCGAAATAGTTGTACTGAATTCCCTGAAACATAAAATCGTAGATACGATTAAATTTAAAATTAGCACATTGGTCAAGGCATCGAGTACCTTGAAATTTATTTATATAAATACAATAAGTTACTTTGGTCAATGTTAAATAATCTTTCTTTTCTAATACTTATCTTATCAATCTAATTAGCATGTTATTTCACATTTTTCTAACTTTGTAACTTGAATGTACGTCCATTTGCAATTTACGTGCAGCTGAAATCGCTCACTGTTCACTGTTCACGAGAGGCAACTCCAATTCAAAGGAATCGAATCAAGTCTGTCTTCGTAGTCTGTCTACGTTCAAGTAGATCGAGTGAAATAAAAATTATATTAATTATATCACACAAATGAGTACACACCTTCGATCGTATTGAAAATCATGTTGTTTTATTTTAAATAATGACGGACAATTATGAAGAAGACCTTGGACGATAGTCAAGAAAAATATATATCTGCCACGAGATTGTGCCCAAAATAAATTCTTATAATCTCATCCTGTATACAGTATATTTCACAATATATCTATCTGTTCCCCCGAATGATTCGTTTCGCACAATTTCATATCAAACTGATCGTACAAAATTATAGTTTCCTCTTTGCCTATTCTACGTATGTGCTTGAGACATTGAACGAGAACACGAGCAAGTAAATGCTTGGAAATCTCAGAAATCTTGACGTGCACGCTCGAGTCATAAACATTAAATGGTCAAGTGTAAAAGATGAAGAAAGATTTAAGCTTCTCCTCTCGTAATTTTCTCGTACAAAATTATAGACAGAATTCTGCAATTAACGATGTGCGGATAATAAACCCAGGAAGACAAACGCTTTTTCTCTAGTAACTTTGCCATCGATTCAACAGTTTAATTTCAATTGAACCTAGCTAATATAAAATCTCTCGATACGAAGAACACGAAAACTTCTTCTTAACCCAGATATGCGTATCGTTCTTCCAAGAAGATGAATACAAAGCAATATGATTTCTGGCACCTGTCTATCCTCTTGGAAGAATCTATTATTATTCTTTCTTACAGGCTTGTAGAAAAACTAGTCGACAGTACGTGCAATATGAAAATTTGATTCTGTTAATTCTGTAGTCATTGAATTCTTAATGTTTTTTTTAACTCTAACACTTTGAGTCAATTTTGGACGTCAATCGAGAGAAAGGGAGTTTCAGTTTTTCAGGAAAATTCAAAGGGAGTTCCACAAAGTTAACAAAGTTATCTAGAATATAAAACGATACAAATAATAACCTATCAATTCATTAATGTTGTTAATCGGTGAATCATTATGCGAGAGATTCTAGATTTCCATTCGTTCAAACGCAAACTATATAACTTTAAGAACCATTCAGAAGAATAAAATTTTCTTTGACAAAATACGCCGGCCTCAGGCCAGAGAAAATTCTTCCTACATATAAGGAACGAAAAGTTCGGAGATATCTGGATTAAGATTAATTTTCATATTCTACGACGTCGCTTCGTACACGACGCGTCGCGATCATTCTTTCTTCATAAAATCGCTGAGGATATGTTCTATGTGCACGACGGGCAACGGGGGATGAACGCCGGGATGCGATTTCCGGTGGCAGATCAGGCCAGGCTTCTGCGTGAACGTCTTGCCGCAAATATCACAGATATACGGTCGTTTGCCCGTGTGGATAAGCAAATGTTGCCTGTACGCGGTGCGACGTGCGAAAGCCTTGCCGCATATGTGACAGTCGTACGGCCTATCACCCGTATGGGTCATCATGTGCTGTTTCAACCGATGGTTCTCCGTGAACGATTTCCCGCACTCCTCGCAGACGAAACTCTCCCGTCTCTCGTGCTGCAGTAAAATGTGCTGGTCGAGATTCTCCTGGGTGACCATGCGCCTCTTGCAGATCTCGCACTCGTACTTCGGCTTGAAATGCGCCCACTTCTGATGGACGTACAGGGAGTTGCTGTTGGAGCAAGTTTTCCCGCACACGTCGCACACGATCGGCCCTTCTTTGTGCTTGAACCGTACGTGTAGCCTCATGTCACCCTTGACCTTGAACTTCTTGCCGCAATACTCGCAGTCGTACTTGTACTCGGACGCGTGTTTCCGCTCCAGGTGTTCCTTCAGTCTGCGCCTGTTCTGACACTTGAACTCGCACACGTCGCACGAGTACTCCTCAGGCTCCGCTGCTGATGCGTACCTGTAGCTACTCCTTCGTCTGCTCATACGTTTGCTCGAGTGTTTCCTGCTGATGTGCGAGTGAAGCGTCGACTTGTTCGTGCTCTCGTAATTACAAAAGTTGCAGGCGTACGTCAGACTCTCGGCGTCCTTCGCCTCCTCGTCATCCTCCTCGGTTTTGTGCTCCAAAGCGACGTGCATCTTGAAAGCGACCAAACTGCGGCATATCTTGAAACAGACCTTGCACTTGTAACGCTGGGCTTGCTCGTGAACCGCGTTCCGGTGTCGTTTCAACATCTGCATCACCGGGAAACAGATGTTGCACTCCTCGCAGGCGTACACCTTGGCGTCGTCGTACGCGTGGTCCTCGTTCGCCGACGCCGCGTCGTCGATCTCCTCCTTCTTCACCTTGACGGAACACGGATCGTCGCTCGTCTCGCCGTCGCCTGGAATCATAAATATCTCTTCCGCGTCGTCGTTGCTCTTCAGCGCGTCGACCGCCGACGACTTCCCGAGCGATTTCTCGCGAAGTTCCGCGAGTTTCGGCGTTTGATTCGCTGGAAGGAAGGCATAGTAGAGGCAACCCTCAACGTCCACTATTTGCCACGGTTGCATGGCAATCGATTCCTTGCCGTATATAAAACATCCGTCTCGGCTTAGCAACCTGAAAAGTACAGAACAGTCAGTTAGGTACTTTGGACGAACGAGCTGCTGAATTATTTCGTCGACAACTCGTGATCATTCGTCTGCTGTTTCTTTTTTGTTTTTGCATGTATCGCAAGATACACGAGAATCTCGATACACACACGCATACACACATACACGAGATAATGCCTAGAATCGTTGCCATTGCGTAATTGTAAATTATACTTGTCCACGTACGTGAGTCTAAGGTATAGGTTTCCACAGATGGGAGAAGAGTCAGGTGTCAGGTGTACAATTGCAGACAAATTGTCCAATTGCTTTGTAAATACCGATAGAGGTGACGTTAGTCAAACGAAAGTGGAAGAATTTCAATGAGATTTTCTCAACAGACATTTTCTCCTTAAACGAAGCTGTAATAAAGATTGATATCGATTACTGGATACAACACCTTTCAGAGTTTCGATTCAATATGCTGGATATATTACATTAAAAAAGAAAATCTTGTAGCACGTGTTTTACAGATGTGCAAGGCATGTACACTCAGAGTGTTACAAACGAGCGGAAATTGTCCAGTAATGTTAACATGTATCGAGTACGAAAATAAAGTAACATTCTTTATAAATAATTTAACGCAAGTGATTGGAACTTCGACGAGAATTCGAACAATCGTTTGATTATAATGATATAGAGATTCTTTTTTCTAGAAATGTGTACAATCTCTGTCGCGTATTGTGACAACGTCAATAATTGTAAAAATAACGTAGGTGATATGTTATCGTATACACGCATAATACTTAGAAGTAACATGTAATCCTTTACATTGTTTCTCGTCTCCCTGCGGTCCATGTTTTTACCGCAATCCACATTTAATTTATTTTCATACTTTTACGAAAGGAATCTTTTATGCGAGGAAGAATGGTACAAGTGGCGAGATCCTTAATTTGAGAGAGGTATTAGTAATGTTAATGCATTAAAACTTTATTTTAACAGAATATAAAAAATTTGTACCATTTTTCCAGATGAATACAGATCCCATATATAAAATGCACTTTGTGAAAAATATCAAATAAAATAAAATATCAACAGGACTAATCTCCGTTGTAACAACATAAATCATAAAACGTTAATTGCACGAGACTGTTCACTGTACAACAATTATCCTCGATTCAAACCGCGCACTGAAATAGGTATCTATACAGTCAACGAACTCAGTTGTTCATCACGTCGTTCAATATATGATCGATCAACACTCTGGGAAGCGGGGGATGCGATCCAGGATGAGATTTCCTATGACTGATCAATCCGGGCTTCTGCGTGAACGCCTTGCCGCAGATGTCGCAAACGTAAGGCCTCATGCCAGTGTGAATCAGCAAGTGTTGCTTCAACGCTGTTCTACGCGCGAACGACTTGTTGCATATGGTGCAGGTGTACGGTTTGTCGCCGGTGTGAATCCTCATGTGCACCTTTAATCTACTGTTCCTGGAGAACGTTTTGCCGCACTCCTCGCAGACCACGTTCTCTCTCTTCTCGTGCTGCCTGATCATGTGCTCGTTCAGATTCTCCTGAGTCACCATCCTCCTCTTGCACACTTGACACTCGTATTTGGCCTTGTAGTGCGCGAACTTCTGGTGCACGTACAAAGAGTTGCTGTTCAAGCACGTCTTGCCGCAAACGTCGCAGATAACCGGCTGCTCTTTGTGGCTGAAGCGTATGTGATTCGTCAGATCGCCCTTCACCTTGAACTTCTTGCCGCAGGTCTCGCAAGAGAATTTAAAATCGTCCGTGTGCTTCCTGGCCACGTGTACCTTCAGCTCGTACTTGTTCTTGTTCTTATAGTCGCACTGGCTGCAGTAGAACAACTGCGGCTGACCGTCGGACGCGCAAGACTTTGGTACCTTGTGTTTCCGCTTGATGTGCGAGTACAGCGAAGATTTCTTGTTGGTTTTGAACGTGCACTCGTTGCACGAGTACACCTCGCCGACGTCCACGATCCTGTGTTGCCGCTTGTGCGAGTACAGGGTGCTTTTCTTCGAGCATCTGAAATCGCACAGATCGCACTGTTCCTCGTTCCCGGATTTCCTGCTCTGTTTCTTGCTCGAGCGAGTACTCATCGAAGGCTGCTCGCTCTTGCATTCGTGCTCGGACAGTGTGCTCGAGACGAGCAAACTCGAGTCTTTGTCTTGCTCCTCCGAGGATGCTCCCTTCGACTCGTCCCTTTCTGAAGGCTCGTCGCTGCGCTTCGTCACCTTGCATCTCTTCCTCGAGATCGCCTCCTCGTTGGCGAATTGCCGGTGATTCCTCGCCACGTGAGAAGCCAGAGTGCTGCTTCTCTTGCACGCGAAGCTGCAGCTATTGCACGCGAAGCGAGTCGTCTTTTTGCTTCTGTGCTCCGCCATGTGCTTCGTCAGATTGGACTGGCTGCCACAGTTTCTGTTACAAATCAGGCACCAGCTCTCCGAATCTTCCTTCGCCGCGGACGGCTTGTGTTTCTTTCGAACGTGAACAGTCAACGCGGACTTCTTGCCGCAGCTGAACCGGCAGGACGTACAATCGTACTGCCTCTTCTCCGTCGGCCTCTGCGATTGTGCCTGCTTGATCTGACTGCCCTTTGAAGCCACTCTCGCCGATCGAAGGTGGCCGGAGGAGTTCAGTCGTTTCCTACGAAGCCACGAGTTCAAATCGTGTGACATCCTGTGCCTGTTCAACATGCTCTCCACGGGGAATTTCATGGCGCATCTGTCGCAGGTGTGAAAGTCGATGGTCACTTCGCGCTTCACCACCACAGTGTCGACGATGTACGCGTCCGCGTTACCACGTTGCTGTTCCTCGTTCTCCGTTTTCACGCACGTCACGGTGGTTCTACGATCCTCGGTACTTTCTCTCGAGGGTCCCGGCGTTTTCTTGTCGTCCAACGCAGCGGGCACCAACGAATAGTGCAGTTTACCATCGGGATCGACGTGCTGCCACAACTGCATCGGGACGGAGTCTTTGCCGACGATGAATCGGCCGGAAGTATCCGTGGTGAGGATCTTCTTGCCACCGGATCGTTGCCTAAAACACAGTTGGAAAAAAAAAGAATGATTACTTTGAAAGACAGATTTCTGTCCACTGTTTTCGTATACGGACGTTACTTACTGCTGA